TTGGAGCAGCAGCTGTCCCTTTGTTGGCTGCCCTTCCACCAGCAATCTGCCCAATGCCCCGGGCACCGGTGTGGGTAGAAGAGGGGTCTGCCCCTGCTCTCTCGGCTGCCAAGGCTGAGGGGACTGAGCCTGGTACTGCACTCCTCATTCCCACCCCGAGGGAAGCCCCAGCACTGGCATGCTCTACAAAGCCCTCCCCCCACGCTGCCTCCTTTCTCCGGTTAGGGTCATTCACTGTCTGCTCCTTCGAGGAGGACTGGTGTGGCTGGGGGGGGTAGAAGAGGGGTCTGCCCCTGCTCTCTCGGCTGCCAAGGCTGAGGGGACTGAGCCTGGTACTGCACTCCTCATTCCCACCCCGAGGGAAGCCCCAGCACTGGCATGCTCTACAAAGCCCTCCCCCCACGCTGCCTCCTTTCTCCGGTTAGGGTCATTCACTGTCTGCTCCTTCGAGGAGGACTGGTGTGGCTGGGGGGGGTTATGGTCATTCACTGTCTGCTCCTTCGAGGAGGACTGGTGTGGCTGGAGCGCTGGGCCTAATGGTCCAAGCTGGCTCAGGAACTCCAGCCTGCACCTCACACCTGGGGCCCGCAGGCCCAGCCGCGGCCACAGCACCAACAGCAGGACAGGTACCTTGGGCTGCGGGTCCCCCACAAGGGCGTGGGCCAAGCCACTGTGCTGGGAAGATCGTCAAATTAAACACCGAACGTGGAGGGAAGGGGCTCGCGTGCAGATGTCTGCTACGTGAGTCTGGGCACTCGTCACGCTAGGGGCCTCACTCCAGAGGGGGGTTTTCTCTCGAGTATTTGCTGGGAGCAGAGGTATAGGACAGGTCGAACAATACCTGACTCGCGTCATCAGATCCACTGTGGGGGCTGCTGTTATCCCCATTCCACACCTGGGGAAGCTGGACAACAGAGTAGGAAGTGACTTTCCCAGGGTCCTCCTGGAGCCCATCTCAGGCCAGTGCTTTAGCCACTAGGCTGCACATCCCTCCCCCTTGGCATTCCCAGTAACACAGGGGGTTGGCTGCAGAGGCAGCCCATGGGGCTGTAGTAGGCATTACGGAATGTGTGCTGCTGATCTCCCACAGGGTTTTTCCTCTACGTCAGTACCGCTCCACCAGACTTGAGCAGTGGAGCAGCCAGACTAATTAGTCCAACTTTCCAAGCAACCACGACCAACTCCTGTTCTGTAAGTCACCTCCTGCTAATGTGCTGCCGGCTTTCCCTTCGCTTGGCCTGGGGCACCTTGGGAGTTGCTTCTACACAGCATCAAGGGCCTACAGGCAGGGTACCTCTTCACCCACTCACACCTCACCCTCTGGGGCTGCTGCGGAGAGAAACCAGCCCTTCAAAGCTGTGGGTTGGCCCTGGGTAGCTGGAGGATTGCAGTATACATGAGGCTCAGCTCAAGCCATGCAGCAGAGGGAAAGGCTGTGGGTGAGTTGCACAAGGGCTGTTTTATGGAAACCTCAGCAGATCATTAGGCTTAACATTTCTGGGCTCTAGATTTGATTAAATCAAAGAGGGCCGCCAGCTCTACCCCACGGTCCTGGGGCAGGTGGGACACTGAGCTCTTCATCAGACAATCAGGGCATGTTAGGGAGGGTTGGTTGAACAGCATCTCCTGGGCTCTTTGGGTGAGGAGAGCCATGCAGAGCTGCAAGGCACGCTGCAGCCGGTATTCAGCTGCCCAGCCTCCGCTCTGGGCTGGGTGAGTGTGCCAAGGCTAGGCTGAGGCCCGCTGCTCCTGGGGGCTGGCACAGCGTGGCATTCATTTCACTCTCGTTCTGGGTCCAGCTCGTGTTCTACTCCTACCTCTATGGCTCAGCCACCAGCAGCCTCAACATCTACTACCAAACCAACAGCACCATGGGGCTCGTGCACACCTGGGCTGCAGACCGGGGTGATTACTGGTTCAGGAACAAAGTGGACTTCAGTGTGACTGAGAGATTCCAGGTGGGCAGCAAACTCGGTGCCACCCTGAGAGTGGGACCAGCTCATGGTGTCAGGACCAACACTTCCCAGGGAGTGTCAAGTGCAAAGCTAGCCCCTCAGAAGGGCATGAATGCTGCATCCCCTTGCAACTGCCAGTGGGACCCTTCCCAGGGACGGGTGGGCCAGCAACGGGCACCTCCCTGCCTAGTACCTAGTTCTAGTGCCTAGAACCTTGCTGAGGATCAAAGGGGCCCTTGGGCTCCAAGGATGCTACCAGCCTGACCCTGTGTCTCAAATCATAAATGCTGACCCACCACAGCCGCCCTATAAACACCCTATACGCTGACCCACCACAGCCACCTACACCCACCCTTCATACTCTGTAGCGCAGATTTCTGCAGGCTGGGCAGTCACCCTGGCTAGGACGCTGTGGGGTGACCTCTGGGTGTCTGGGTGCAAGCCTGCTGCCTGGTGTTACCTGCTCCTCCTGTCCCTGCAGATCCTTCTTGAGGCTGTGATCGGAGCGGGACACAAAGGCAGCGTGGCCCTGGATGACCTGGTTCTGTCTCCAGGCTGCCTCCAGGCTACAGGTGAGGCTCTAGACAGGTTCCTTTGGCTCACTCTTTGCCAGCTGCTGGTCTGGCATGTTAACCCATAACCCCCGCGCCACAGGCCCAACAGGCAGGGCAAGGTCAGTCCTCTTTCGGCTCCACCCCACCCCACTGCAGCCCTCTGTCCCTGTGCCACAGAGCATAGCAGAGAGCGAGAATTCTACCAGTCCCGTGCCACAATGGAGAGCCGGGTGCTGAGCTTTCCCCCTGACCCTCTGTGCTTCTGTGGGGGACCAGGCTTCAGGTTCTGGGGCTTCCTCTGCCCAGGGCTTTTGCTGGGGACAGGGCTGGGAGCAGCTGTTGGGATTCCTCTACCCAAGTACTTGCCTGGCACTGCTGCACTGATGCTGGGTCAGAGCTTGGGGCTTCTCCTACCCTGCTTGCCTAGCAGCTTGGGTTCCAAGCTTCTGCCACGTCAGCAGATTCTTTCTGGGGGAGCAGCCCAGTGACTAATCCACAACTGGCCCTGGCCCCTTCCTGGCTCTCGGCATGTTTATTCTCTCTGTCAACTTTGTTACAAACCGGACAAGTGTCCCAGCGACACAGCCAGATGCCTCCTTCAGCTCTTGTGATCTACCCCCTCCACACATGGGCAGCTGCCTTACGGGTACAGCCTGACCAGGGCAGCTTTCAAGGCAGGGTGGGACGAGCCAGGTGTGGGAGGCACTGAGGGCTGCAGGGCTGTGGGTTGGGGCTCAGGGGAGAAGCTGGGGGGCTGTGCTGACATGTGGAAGACTTGAGCAGAGGTCAAGGAGCCACTGTGGTTTGGGCCATGTTGGCTGGTCAGGTGATGCTGGCTCTTCTATAGCTGGCAGTGCCCAGCGCACGCACCATCTAGGGCTGGGTTTGGGAGCCCTGGGGGAAGAGTCCATCCCTCTTTTGCAGTGACCTGACTCTGAGCAGGGAGCAGCCAGAGAGCTTCCTGCTCTGGTTCAGGTTCCAAAGCAGCTTATGTTAAGGAAAGTGCCAGGGAGTCTTCAGTGCCCCTGCTGGGGCTGTGTTTGCAGGCAGGCAAGCAGCTGGGCACGGGGCCCCTTGGCTAAATGGCCCAGCACAGCCCCTGCCAAAGGCCCTGGCCTGCTCCACTCTCGCCCTCTCCAGGCAATCTGACCATTACTCCTGGGCCTGCTTCCCCTGGTCCCACCACTCCCTGCGCCCCGGAGGAGTTTGCCTGTGACAATGAGAAGTGCATCCGCCCAGAGCTGGCCTGCGACTTTACAGACACGTGTGAAGATGGCTCCGATGAGACGTCCTGTGGTAACGGACACCCAGCGCATGGCACGAAGCTCTGTTGGGAGGGACAGCAATGAGGCACAGCACAGAGCATCAGCCAGCGCAGGCATTGGGCAGGAGCTGGACGCACAGCTCCGCCAATGCCCCAGCACCTGCCACCTGCTGACCCTGGTAGCGGAGTGCTGGGATCCCTGCATGTGATGATTTGCCAACACCGCTCAGACCTGCTCTGCTGCCCTGCTGCTCACCCAGCCCTGGGATCCCTGCACCCGTGACTCTCCCAGGCTAGGGCTACACGACCGAGTTTTTCCAGGGAACGCGCCCGCTCTGACGACATTTTTTGCGGAAGAGCAGACGCGCTCTTTCCGAAAGAAGACGTTTTTCCAAAATTTGGCCCAGTTTACATGGGCCAAATTTCGGAAAAGCCTCTTCCGAAAACACAATTGGGAAAAGATCCGCACATTGCGGAACGTAATGGGTGTACCTTTTTTCAAAAAAGAAGTGTAGTGTAGACATCGCCCCTGTGCTCCCGAACCCTGACCTTCCACCTGCTAGCCCAGCCCTGGGCCCCTGCACCCATGACTCTCCCTGTGCCCCCGACCCCTGACCTGCCAGCTGCTAGCCCAGTCCTGGATCCCTGCACCCGCTGCTCTGCCAGGACACCCAAGCCGTGACCTTCCACCTGCTAGCCCAGCCCTGGGCCCCTGCACCCATGACTCTCCCAGTGCCCCTGAGCCCTGACCTGCCAGCTGCTAGCCCAGCCCTGGATCCCTGCACCCGCTGCTCTGCCAGGACTCCCAAGCCCTGACCTTCCACCTGCTAGCCCAGCCCTGGGCCCCTGCACCCATGACTCTCCCAGTGCCCCTGAGCCCTGACCTGCCAGCTGCTAGCCCAGCCCTGGATCCCTGCACCCGCTGCTCTGCCAGGACTCCCAAGCCCTGACCTTCCACCTGCTAGCCCAGCCCTGGGCCCGATTGTTCTAGAGTCTTTGCAGATGCGGCAATATACTCTGCTCCAATACCCCTCCCTTTGGAAAGCCTTCTGGGCCTCATGTGGAACCACATGAAGGCCTTTTGGCCATGCCCGGGAGCCGAGCGCTGGGCAAGTGAGTGAGCCCATGTGTAAGTAGAGGGCATGTTTCCCCTAAGCATAGTGGCTGGAGGAGAGGAAACTGCAGCCCACGGGAATCAGACAAGCCCAGGACACCTACCCTGCCAGACCAGCCACAGCTTCCGCTTGCCTTGTGTAGCCACGAGCCTCGGCTGCTGCCCGTCCGGCTGATGGGCGTGGGGTCTTCCGGGCCCAGACTGGGCAGCACATGGCTTCAGGCCAAGCTGCTGAGGCTCTTGGCACCACCTGGTGAGAGGTTTCACAGTCCGGCCACTGCAGGGCCCTAACAAGGCTAGTGACATCTGTGTGTGTTCCAGGGGCATCAACCTTTGAGGCTGGGGCTGGGGGCTGGAAGGACATCAGTGTGGGCCAGCTGCAGTGGGTGAGGGAGAACGGCAGCACAGCCTCAGAGCCGCGGGCAGACCACACCACCAACTCCTCTGCAGGTAAGACCCCCGCACGGGAGACCGCCCCACGCTGCCCCTCTACTGAGGAGACTCTCCCCACTGCTGCTCCCCCACCTCTCCACTTCCATACATGTCCCCAAGCCATCCTGCAGGGGAGACCCCCCAATCCTCCACCTCCCCCTGCAGGGCACACGCCCCACTCCCTGCCCCTCCTGGGGGCAGCAGAAGAGGTAAGACGTGGTTGGCGTTGCTTAGCGGAAGGGGTGGCAGGTGGTGCCTGGGGGTCGTGGGATGAGGGGAGCCGTTTCCCAGCTGCAGCCTGTGTTTTCTCTCTAGGGCACTACTTGGGTGTGGGGCTGGCTCCGGGCCAGATGCTGTCCGTGGCAAGGGCTCGCACCCCTCCTCTGGGCTCCTCGGGCCTGGCCTGCTCTCTGGAGATGCACTACTGGTTGCACAGTGACCCTCAAGGTACCTGCGCCTTCTGGCCCCCGCCCTGCTGCACTCAGCCCTACAGAGCGGCCCATCCCCCTGGGTGGCAGCACTCTGGGGGAGGCCCCTGGACACTCCCTATCCTAGGCCAGAAGGAGCCATTGCCCCTGGCAAAGTGATTCTGGAGCCACAGCCAGAACCTGAAGGAGACTTGCCCCATAGCCCATCCCTCCCTGCTGGATGCCAACCCTGGCCCTTGGGCTGCAAGGAGTTGGCCAGTGGGGTCCCTGCAGTGCCCCACCCCACCTTGCTTGGATCCCCCTGCTGGCACTGGGCCCTGCCGTGCTGGGCTCGCACTCTCAGAGCCAGGGCTACCCTCCCATCCCCTTTTCCTTTCCTAGGGTTCCTGGCACTCAGCATCCTGGATCCTGGCCTGGGGACACACAGACTGGCCTGGCACATGCAGGGCACTGACAGCACGGCGTGGAAACATGTCACTGTCCCTCTTGGGAAGCGGGTCAGACCCTTCCAGGTGAGCCAAGCAGCCTGACTCCACCCAGCCCAGGTCTCATGGGTGCTCCGGTGTGCCCTGGCCAGGAAGGCAGCTTGCTGGACCCCACACTGCCTAAGAACACAGCATTTAGCTGGGAGTGAACCCGGAGGGCACAGATTGATCAGGGGCAGGAGCACAGAACAGGAACCCGATTGTCTCAGTGCTGACTCCAGTCTAGCCAGGGTGCAGTGCTCAAACTCAGCTGGCTGGCAGGCGGCCTAGCTCAAACCGTCCCAGGGAGCAACAGCTGCCAAGTGCTGAGTCTGAGTGAGCCCCAGGAACAGAGCTCCTGCCTTCCTCCCATGTGGAGGGGAGGGGAAGGGCCACTGCCACATTCACTGCCAGGCTGCCACGTGGCGCCGAATGTGCAGGGCCCCTGTGTGCGGAGACCATGGGCCAGGATGGGGGCTCACTGAGCTGCTGTCCCCTCAGCTGGAGCTGACTGCCCTGGTGAAGCTGCGCGGCCTCGTGATGCAGAGTGCTGCTGTGGACGACATTGTGTTTGTGAACTGTGACCCCCACTTTACCCCTCCAGATGCCTCAGGTATGGCTCAGGAAATGGGCAACAGATATTTGACCAGCTCCTGCCCTGGGGGCCTAGCTGCTGCTGGCACAAGAGAGGTGGGACCCACTTGTGCTCCAGGGGTCACTTCCAGAGGGGGACAAGTCAGGAGCTGCGTTCCCTGAGTTAGTTCCTACTCCGTGAAGAGCAGGCACCCCGTGCTGCTGGCACTGAGCGGTGCACGGGACCCCAGCGCCCTGGATGAGTGCTGAGTTGAGGCGGGGCGTGGAGGCGCCAGGACATTTGCATGCTCATCCCAGAGCCACTGATCTCTGCTCCCTGAAGACTCCCTTGACAGCGGGGGCGGCCCTAGACTAGCTGCCAGCAACTGGCGCCCTGGGCAAACCAGGCAATCGCCCCCCCAAACCCCTCAATGATATTGCGCCACCATTTGGTGCCCCATTTAACCTGGCGCCCTAGGCGACCGCCTCGTTCGCCGATATGGACGGGCCGCCCCTGCTTGCCTGGGTCCCTTCACTGCCCCGGAACTGTGGGGACAGCCCATGGTGGCGGGTGCCTGGCCAGCAGGCCTGTCCTTGCAGAGGGTTGGGAAGCAGTGGTGTCAATGAGAGTAACTAGTCGCCAGAATCTCCCCTGCGAGGTTCACTTTCCTAGGGCCCATACAGGTGCTGGTGCTGGGAGAGTCTGGGGCACCGTGTGAGGAGGAGACAGGCTAGTAACCCCCAGATACCGTTTTTCTGGTCACTGCCCAAGTGGCCTTCCTTCCTGCAGCCATCGTGTGCCTTCTGGCCTACTCCCTACCCTCTGGGGGTTAGGCGGATCCCCCTGCCTGCCATCTGTTTGGGGTAGGAGAAGGCATCCCAGGCAGAAAGCAGGGCATGTGAGCCACTAAGGGGTCATCTCCTTCCATCTGGAGAGCTCCAAGCACTTCCCGGACATCACAGCACCCACCCCACTCCTAATGGGGAAACCAAGGCACCGGTGCATTTGCGACCTACCCCAGCCTCACTCAGAGAAGCAGTAGCAGAACCCAAGAGTTCTGCCTCCCAATTTGCTTGCTCTGACCACTCAACCTCATTCCTTTTCAGAGCAGAGTATAGAGCCCAGGAAAACAATTTCCTGCCTCTTTGTTCTGATTGTTGGACCTTATGCTCATCTCAAAGAACCCAGGAGTCCTGGCTCCCACGTCCTTTGCTCTGGCCACTAAACCGGAGAACTCGTTGGCATTATTAGGGGTAGGAGTTGGGCACAGCAGCTGCGAGGGCTGAGCCAGGAAGGGGGGAGTTTGGGTGGAGGGTGGCAGCCCCCAGTCACCCACAGCATGGCCTTTCCTCTCGGCAGAGCTGTCCTGCAACTTTGAGAGGGGGCTTTGCGGCTGGTACCAGGATCAGAGTGATGACTTTGAGTGGATGCGAGGGCTGGGCTCCGATCACACCACTGGCACAGGTGGGTTCTGCTAGGGCTTCTGGGAGTGCTTGCCCTGCCTCCAGGAACTCCTGGGCTCAGGGGCGCACAGAGCAGGTGGAGCAGCAGGCTTGGGGGCTGGTTTCAGAGCTGCAGCCTGCAGTGGCTCCAGGATTCGGTTCAAACTCACCCAGAGGAGAGCTGACTTGAGGAGGCAAAGCTGGGCCACTAGCTGTTGGGGGGGGCAGGGGGCAGGCTGGGCTAGGGGCAAGGCAAGGGCTCTTGTAGGGAGCAAGAAGAGTTCCCCTGAAAGAGGCAGGTTTGCTTGTCTGCTGCCTTTCCAGCTCATGAGTTGCTGATGCACCTGGGCTGTGTTAAAGGCCTAGCCGAGATCTTGGTGCAGCTGCCGTGAGCTAGGGCTGTGCACAGGGAGGTCTAGGCTGGTGCCTGCCCTTGTTACTGCCTCTCCAGCTCTCACCACGGTCTGTGTTTGCTTCCGAAAGGCTATTTCTTGGCCGTGGACCTTGCTGCCCAAAGTGCCCGGGGCCTGAGTGCGCGTCTCATCACGTACCCCCAGGACTGTCCCACGAGAGAGCAGTGCCTTTCCTTCTGGTATCGCCTGGATGGCCCTCAGAGTGGTAAGTCACACCTGTGCTCCCAGGGCTGGGCTGGACCATACTGTGGGGAGCAGGGGAGATAGATCCCTCCCCATCTCTTCCAGGAAGCTGCCAGTTAGCCACTTAGCATCGTGCACTCAACACATGGCGCCTCTGGCAAGGACACACCTGGACACTGCCCATGAGGCCAGGGTGAGGGGGCACAGGTGTGAGCCAAGAACTGGTGCCGACCTACCTGGTGCGTGTTCCCTCTAATCTTTTCCATCCATGTGCAGAATAATTTGTTTTATGTGCACCAAGGGATGTGTAAAAGTGCATCCCCAGTGGGTGTCCCTGGCCTTTGTTTGCCAGAAGCTGGGAATGGGCAACAGGGGAGGGATCGCATGGTGATTCCCTGCTCTGCTCATTCCAGGCATTGCCCACTGTGGGCAGACAGGACACTGGGTTGGATGGACCATTGGTCTGACCTGGTCTGGCTGTTCCTATGTTCTTACGTTAGAAACACTGAACCTGGCTGTGAGCACTCTGCTGATCAGCTGGGCGGCACTGGCACCTCTGCTGAGTGGCTGCCCAAGCACCCAGCTTACAGGGCCCATGGGTGAGGCGGGGCAGAGGTGCGAGCCAAGGCTGGTGCTGTGTTGCATGGAGGAACGTGTCCCTCGCCTGGTGCTCACCCTGCAGGGACTGAGGTTCCAGTTCTGTGAGTCACCCTGGGGCAGGCTCATAGCGAGAGGTCCCCAGCACAAGGGGTCTTGTTTCCAGCATGGCCCCCTCCCTTTGCTAGCGCCCTCCCAGGGAAGGCCAGCTTCCTGCCCCAGTTCTGCCAAGATTCCTCCAGCACGTGGGACACCTGACCAACCAGAGCTCCCGAGAACCTCAAAGTCCAGCCCCAGGTTCTCAGCCCAGCTTCTGCCCCTCTTGAGGTGCTGAAATGTGTGCCAGGCACAAGCCCAGCTCCTGGCCACACTGCCCTGGCAGCTCCCTGGTCACTTTCCAGCGGTGGTCACACCCCAATAGCTGCAGGTCAGTGGGGTTGGGTTCCTGGGTGTGTGACAGATGCTCTGGGCCAGCTTTGCCTGCTCTTCACCTGGCCCTTCCCATGGGCCCTGCATTTTCCAATTCAACCCAGGCACATTGAGCCTAAAAATACAGCATGACGAGGAGCCGGAGACTGTGCTCTGGACCCGAACGGGAGCTCATGGCAGCACGTGGCACCTGGGATTCGCGACACTCCGCTGCCAGGCCCTCCAGGGGTACCGGGTAAGCTCTGAGACATGGCATCTTCCCACCATGCCCTGGCATGTGCGGAGTCTCTGCTGAGCCAGGGGCAGGATTTGCTGGCTCAGTGCCATGCCAGCCCCTCCCATTGCTGGCACTCAGCAGGCAATCACAGCCAAGCTGTTCCAGACACCAGAGCCTGGGCTCAGGTGCACTGCCGTGCAAGCTCCATGGAGAACGGGGTGCCCGGCTGCTTTGCCGTGCAAGCCCCATGAGGAACGGGGCGCCTGGCTGCTTTGCCGTGCAAGCCCCATGAGGAACGGGGCGCCTGGCTGCTTTGCCGTGCAAGCCCCATGAGGAACGGGGCGCCTGGCTGCTTTGCCGTGCAAGCCCCATGAGGAACGGGGCGCCTGGCTGCTTTGCCGTGCAAGCCCCATGAGGAACGGGGCGCCTGGCTGCTTTGCCGTGCAAGCCCCATGAGGAACGGGGCGCCTGGCTGCTTTGCCGTGCAAGCCCCATGAGGAACGGGGCGCCTGGCTGCTTTGCCGTGCAAGCCCCATGAGGAACGGGGCGCCTGGCTGCTTTGCCGTGCAAGCCCCATGAGGAACGGGGCGCCTGGCTGCTTTGCCGTGCAAGCCCCATGAGGAACGGGGCGCCTGGCTGCTTTGCCGTGCAAGCCCCATGAGGAACGGGGCGCCTGGCTGCTTTGCCGTGCAAGCCCCATGAGGAACGGGGCGCCTGGCTGCTTTGCCGTGCAAGCCCCATGAGGAACGGGGCGCCTGGCTGCTTTGCCGTGCAAGCCCCATGAGGAACGGGGCGCCTGGCTGCTTTGCCGTGCAAGCCCCATGAGGAACGGGGCGCCTGGCTGCTTTGCCGTGCAAGCCCCATGAGGAACGGGGCGCCTGGCTGCTTTGCCGTGCAAGCCCCATGAGGAACGGGGCGCCTGGCTGCTTTGCCGTGCAAGCCCCATGAGGAACGGGGCGCCTGGCTGCTTTGCCGTGCAAGCCCCATGAGGAACGGGGCGCCTGGCTGCTTTGCCGTGCAAGCCCCATGAGGAACGGGGCGCCTGGCTGCTTTGCCGTGCAAGCCCCATGAGGAACGGGGCGCCTGGCTGCTTTGCCGTGCAAGCCCCATGAGGAACGGGGCGCCTGGCTGCTTTGCCGTGCAAGCCCCATGAGGAACGGGGCGCCTGGCTGCTTTGCCGTGCAAGCCCCATGAGGAACGGGGCGCCTGGCTGCTTTGCCGTGCAAGCCCCATGAGGAACGGGGCGCCTGGCTGCTTTGCCGTGCAAGCCCCATGAGGAACGGGGCGCCTGGCTGCTTTGCCGTGCAAGCCCCATGAGGAACGGGGCGCCTGGCTGCTTTGCCGTGCAAGCCCCATGAGGAACGGGGCGCCTGGCTGCTTTGCCGTGCAAGCCCCATGAGGAACGGGGCGCCTGGCTGCTTTGCCGTGCAAGCCCCATGAGGAACGGGGCGCCTGGCTGCTTTGCCGTGCAAGCCCCATGAGGAACGGGGCGCCTGGCTGCTTTGCCGTGCAAGCCCCATGAGGAACGGGGCGCCTGGCTGCTTTGCCGTGCAAGCCCCATGAGGAACGGGGCGCCTGGCTGCTTTGCCGTGCAAGCCCCATGAGGAACGGGGCGCCTGGCTGCTTTGCCGTGCAAGCCCCATGAGGAACGGGGCGCCTGGCTGCTTTGCCGTGCAAGCCCCATGAGGAACGGGGCGCCTGGCTGCTTTGCCGTGCAAGCCCCATGAGGAACGGGGCGCCTGGCTGCTTTGCCGTGCAAGCCCCATGAGGAACGGGGCGCCTGGCTGCTTTGCCGTGCAAGCCCCATGAGGAACGGGGCGCCTGGCTGCTTTGCCGTGCAAGCCCCATGAGGAACGGGGCGCCTGGCTGCTTTGCCGTGCAAGCCCCATGAGGAACGGGGCGCCTGGCTGCTTTGCCGTGCAAGCCCCATGAGGAACGGGGCGCCTGGCTGCTTTGCCGTGCAAGCCCCATGAGGAACGGGGCGCCTGGCTGCTTTGCCGTGCAAGCCCCATGAGGAACGGGGCGCCTGGCTGCTTTGCCGTGCAAGCCCCATGAGGAACGGGGCGCCTGGCTGCTTTGCCGTGCAAGCCCCATGAGGAACGGGGCGCCTGGCTGCTTTGCCGTGCAAGCCCCATGAGGAACGGGGCGCCTGGCTGCTTTGCCGTGCAAGCCCCATGAGGAACGGGGCGCCTGGCTGCTTTGCCGTGCAAGCCCCATGAGGAACGGGGCGCCTGGCTGCTTTGCCGTGCAAGCCCCATGAGGAACGGGGCGCCTGGCTGCTTTGCCGTGCAAGCCCCATGAGGAACGGGGCGCCTGGCTGCTTTGCCGTGCAAGCCCCATGAGGAACGGGGCGCCTGGCTGCTTTGCCGTGCAAGCCCCATGAGGAACGGGGCGCCTGGCTGCTTTGCCGTGCAAGCCCCATGAGGAACGGGGCGCCCGGCTGCTTTGCCATGCACTTGGGCCCAGGCCCTCATGTCCCTGGTCCTTGGGCTCCTCAACACCTTCGTTCCATTCCCCGGGGATGTGGCCGACCTGGCGAGTGGGTGCTTGGGGTGGTGCTCAGCACTGCTTGCCTTCCTCCTTGGCAGCTGGTCTTCGAGGCTCTCCGGAGTGGGTACTTGGGCGACATAGCCTTGGACGATGTCACCATGCGAGCCGGAGCCTGTGGGCCCCAGGAGTCCTGCTCATTCGAGGCCAATGCTTGTGGCTTTTCCTCCAGCTGGCAGTACCTGTGGGCACGGCAGAGCAATGCTACTGGCACTGCTACCGCTGGCCCTCCCACGGACCACACCCTAGGGACGGCCCGAGGTAAAGCAGCCCCGGGCTCTGCAGGGGAGGGGGAAGTGTGTCTGCCCTACCTGGGCCCGGCAAACGGCCACGCATGCTGCCGGCAAGCACAGCACGGCCCCAGCCACAGCTCTCCTCCTGTGGGCCTGATTGCAGAAGGCAGCTCCTCATGCCATGGGGCTGTGCCTGGTACTAAGGTCTGTGGAAGAGCTGGTGCAGCAGGCTGAGCCCC